TTTTATAATTTAAAAACCAAAAATTATAAAACATAATTCAAAAACTAAAAATATTTAAAATTAAAAATTTTAATACTAAAATTTACATTTAACCCTTGTCTTAAAATTTACCTGTCTTCAGTCTTGAGTTTTTTTAATTCTGATCACATGGGTACGTCTTACGAGGCAAAAAGTCTTCACCAAATTCTTCTTCCAAGGAAGGCTTAACAAACACGACCTACGCATGCAGATTCTTGTACCTAATTTTACCGAATGGCACGTGATAAGCTAGAGTACTTGGTGGATCTTGATTTAATAAAGTGCTTAAGTTATAACACTGTTCAAAACTGCACTGAATATGATACTGCTCTGATTTTCTTTTTGGTAATATAATTTTTAGGGACGTGTGAGGCACCCTATATGCATGTGTCGAGTGTATTGAAGGTTCAAAAAAAAAAAACGAATGCAGTATGTTAGATGATCAGTAATGTGATATTTACAATTAGGTTCATTTCTTTGTCCAACTTGATAAGCTTTCTGGCTGTCCTTATTTGGACAGAGTCACTTCTATTTTTTTCTACGTCGACCATTTGTCAAACTAAACAGCAGCAGCAAAGCAGAAAATAAGGGTGTTTGGTAAAATTTAGAAAATAAAATTTTATTTATATAAATATTATTAGAGAAAAATTTAAAATTAAATTGTAAGCAAATTTTTTTTAAAAAAAATTATACATTTAATTTTTTTTAAAACTTACTTACAAATACCTTATATGGTTAACAAAATTGCAGGAAAAAATTGACTGTTGCGGAATTTCAAATATGATCCCGAACCTTTGGTATCACAGAGTTATTATGTATTAGTTTAACAAGTTAATAAAATTTTAATAAATAATTAAAGAGTAAGAATGAATTTATACTAATTTTAGTGTTAAAAATTCTTATACATAAAGTAATTTTTTTAAAAAAATTGTGCATCTAGGTCTAAAATCTTACACCCCTTTAGGGCTAGGTTATTGCAACTCTACAGTCTAAATTATTAAGGCCATCAATTTATTTACAATTTAATTAGTATATTATTTTTTTAAATAAT